ACATATATACACTTCAAGCAAGTAACAAAAAAATTAGAGGTTTTCATGGAAAATCACATATAAAGCAAAACCAAAAGAGTATGAAAAAAGGTGATACAATAAAAATATCTCCCCTATACTTATAATTGAGAGCTGTCATTTGCCCTTTGAAAAATGGCACCCCCAGACATTGATCTCAAATCTTGTGGTTCAAATTTTTTTATTTAAGTTTTGATTTATTTTTTGTTTTAATTGACCTCACTTTTTATAAAATTTACAACTTTGACATTATGATTGTTTTCTTAAATTCTTCGCCTTTCCCGTTGTCTTCTTCTTTCTCCAACTATTCATATCACCATTTAGGGAAAAATTAGCAACCGCTCCATCCATTCTTTTTATCTCATCTGCTCACAGGAGCTCTCTATCAATCAGTGATAGCAAGTTGTAGGGTTTCGTTGATTGGTTCGTTTTATATAGAGATTTTTTTATTTTTTACATTTGTGGAGTCCAATTATAATTGAGGTGTGATTCAATTATAATTAACATTAAATACAAATCAAGATCTCTTTATACGCATAATATTATATTTTAAAGGTTTCATCTAATTTTAGTATTTAATGAATTTAGAACTTTGTACGTATTTTTTAGCTTGTATTGTATGTATTGTATAAACTCAACAATCTTTTCATACATAAATATAAATAAATAAATAAATAAATATATATATATATATATATATATATATATATATATATATATATATATATATATATAGTGAAAGGTTCCCGTGCATTTGTTGCTTCCCGTGCGGATGTGCGGTGGATTAATGTGCGTGAGATTTGTACACAATGTGCGTGAGTGTTGTGTTTAATGTGCCTGAGATTTGTACTTAATGTGCGTGAATGTGTAAAATGCAGCAGAAAATATTGATGTCAGCTTCTTCCCCATCCCAGTAGCCATTTGCCCCTCCCTGATGATGATGATGTGGAGGCGGGCTATGGTGATTAAGAATTATGAGAATAATACAATAGAAATATATTTTAAAGGTTTCATCTAATTTTAGTATTTAATGAATTTAGAACTTTGTACTTATTTTTTAGCTTGTATCGTATGTATTGTATACGTGCAAATTTTACTGTGCTAAAGGTTTCATCCACACTTAGCTACTGTGCAAATTTTACTGTGCGTGCGTCATTTATATAAACATTTAACTGCACTGAAGGTAGCTGATAATCCAGAATCCATGGCCAAATTGAAGGAAGAAGTAACAAGAAGCTTGGGCGTTAATGTGCGTGAGTTTCTGTTCTGCTTCTTTCTGAGCTCGTAATTCTGAAATACTCACGCACATTAAGTACAAATCTCACGCACATTAAACACAATACTCAGACACATTAAATACAAGACTCACGCATATTAACATGACGCACATTAAGTACAAATCTCACGCACATTGAGTACAAATCTCACGCACATTAAGTATAAACCTCACGCACATTAATCCACCGCACATCCGCAAGGGAATAAACAAATCCACCTGATCCCTTCCATATATATATATATATATATATATATATATATATATATATATATATATAAACTTATTTTTGGGCATTACAAAAATAATTAAAAAAATAAATCAATTAACATTTTTTATAATATAAAAAAAAATAGAATTTTTAATATAATAAATGCTGGGCCAATACATGGTTACATTTTTTTTTTTTTGGTCCAAAGCTAACCCACTGTTGCAGCCCAATATCTAAAATCCATTAAGCCCGGCCATAAATATTGGTTAATTTGTCCCGGGCAAATTATTGTGTTGACCATGACCCACACAGTGTTGTGTGGACCATAACAAAAAGTACATTTTTAATATATTTTTAATGTATATTATTTGTGTACTGAATGTACAATATACAATATAATGTACACTCAATATACAAATAATGTACATTCCCTGAATACAATGTACATTTTTAATATACTGAAAGTGCATTATTTTTGTACTGAATGTACATTATTTTACAGTATACAAAATATGGTCCACACAATAATAATTGTTTTTCCCGCCAATATTGTTGCTTTTTTTTTTTTTTTTTTTTTTTTTTTTTTTTTTTTTTATCTACTATCTACTATACTAATAAGAGCCCAAGAGAGTTAGGCCTATAATGGGTAGAAAAAATGACGGTCAAATTTTTTAATCAAATGAATTGCTCAGATTGATAAGATTTTAGTTTTTCCTTAAGATTTCCTAATTTATCCTTAATGAATATGATTATTTGTTAACTTTTCCGTTAAATATTATTCGTTAATTTCTGTTAGTTCACCGTTAACTTACTCATTATTTCAATAAGAAAGGTCGTAGGTTCGAACATCATCCCAATCAAATTTAGTATAATTAGTACTCTATTTTACTCTTATTAAATTAAATAATAATTTAGTAGCAACAACAAAAAATAATACATATGCATTTCTTTAATTTAGAATTACGTGTCTGCTATGTCTTTATTCAAAAAAATATAAGAGAAATAATTTCGTTAGTTATATTATATTATATTTATTTTTCTCCAATATGAAAATTCTTTACATTCAAATTCATCAATTGATTATATTCGTTACATTCTATTATCTATGCATGAACAATTCCAATATAATCTTGCATACCTTAATATACTTTAAAGTATTTATTTAACAAAAAAAAAAAACATTGGGCATTATCCCAATCGCACAATGCACGTAAAAAACTAGTAGTAAAGATAAATGTCAAAGATATATAGGTGATCGTCAGAGACATTGTGTTCGGATACAGGTGAGCGGTGCTCAACGGAAGCAACAACAACAACAAATAATATACCTTTATGTTCAATACACAAATAATATACTTTTAGTATATTAAAAATGTACATTTTATCGTAGTTGACAAACAAAATTTGACAAATTTATACCACTTGTTCTTCTACCTATCAATCAAATTGGGTAATTTTCTAAACATCGTACATTAGGATTTATTGAGGCATTATATAATTTAATGAGGTATTATATATTTGGTCCAAACAACATTTAATTTGAAATTATATATAATTTCTGTAGGTTATTTTTACTTGTCATGTACATCCATATAACTGAATCATTGACAATTGGAAGTAGAATAATGATGATGGTGATGTAAATACTTATATGCTACAATTGAAGGACTGTAGGAACCCCATTCCGCCCAGTTTTGACTTTTCATAACTACTAAAGCACAAAGAGTCAAAGATTGCTTCTGTTGAGGCTTAAACCGACAACTTCTCATATGAGAAAGTAACTTGGTGCCACTAGACCACTAGGTTATTGGCATATGCTGATATGCATGGTATTTTAATTACGTACATACTGTTAACATATATTTTAAATGATTTATTATCATTCTCTATTATAGCAATTGTCATTGATAAATTCTCAAAACAAAATAAAAAAAAAATCAATAACATCATTGTTGTGGATGAAAAACAAGTACTACTCCACTTTATTACTCTTACTAAATTAAATAAATTAGTAGCTACAACAAAAAATAATACATATCCATTTAATTAATTTTGAATGAGATGTCTATAATGTCATTGCATGATGCTGCCCTCTATATTACAACCAGTAATCCAATTGCACATGACACAATACCTATAAAAAGAAGATGACAAGTATGAATATGAAGACAATGACAATGCTACCCAAAAGATAATTATAAAGACTCAAAGAAATTTAAACAAAAAGAAGCTAAGTATTTATTTAGAATATCGTTTTTAGATTAAGTATTCAGAATAACGTTATTACAAAGTTGCAAACATTTATTTTGGTGACAATTATAATCAATCTCTCATATATTATCTTGTATTTATATAATTTGAATTTGAATTACTAATTTAAATAAACAAATTCAACATTCAATTACTTATGCATGAACATCTCATATATAATCTTGCATTGATATACTTTGAAGTACTTATTTAAAAATAATCATTGACCATTATCATATTTGCGCAATGCGCGTAAAAACTAGTATATGCAATAATATTAAATTAAAAATATAATATTTAGGGGTTGAAGACATCAAGAGTTATTAGTTATATATGAGTGAAAGTGTAAAAATTATGAGGAAGTCAAAAGATAAGAATCAATGAGATAGTTTCTGAGGAGATTTTAGCTAATATTAATATCAATATAAATTTGCAATGGAATTCTCTATGAAAATTTTCTAGTGTAAAAGTAAATTGCAACAAAAATTGTACTGAAAATATCTAATAATTTTTATATAATAGTTTGCAATTAATGTAACAAATTAGTTATGATTAAACCATTAATCATATTAGATTCAGAATTAATATTATTCTTCTTCATATTAGGTGCTTTACAATTAGCCGACTTGTGACCCATATTCTCACAATTGAAGCATTTCTATGGAATTACTTCTCATTATTATATTCTTGAAGTCATTCTAACTCGGAGGCAACAAGTGAATAACAAATTCCACTTGAAAGGTTTCACTCACGACTATTCCTTCGTCAAGCATCTCATTGATGATCATTTTAATATCTTCAACTTGACTTAGGAGAATCCTAGAATCCAACATCTTGTAATCAAGGAATTGGCTGACGACAAATTTCTTTGCCTTAGCGCCATCACTTTAATACTTCATGTCCAAAGATTCCCATAACTCTTTAGCTAATTTTAGCTTACCGTATGCACTGTACAACGAGACACACAAACCTTTCAAAATGTAATTTAAGCATAGGAAAACAAAATATTTTCAAACCTTTATTTGGCTAACAATTTGAGTGTTAGACTCATGTACTTTTCCACTGGGAATCATCTAGGTCAAGAGCCATGACATGTCGAGAATCACTAGGTTGAACAACATTTTAGGTTGTCACCCTTTGAAATTCAACTCCTTGAATTTGTTGGATTATGGAAAATACACAGAGTGATGAATGGAAGCTAAACCGAACGAAGGAAGAAAGGAGAACATTGTGTTATTCATAGTATCAAACCCTCATTACAGCAGCTAAAAGAATAAAAAGGATGAAAGCTTTCGAAAAACGGTTATAACAGATTTTATGGTGTAAAGACAAGAATGCCACTTGAAGAGTAAAGACAGGAAAGCCATTGACTTCCCTTGTGACTGCATCAACCTCCAACACATCCAAATCTGTCAGTAGATAGTGCAACCATTGTATTTCAGACACAGTAGAAGCCAATGCTCTGTATTCAGCCTCAGATGAGGATCTTGAAACAGTTGCTTGCTTCTTAGTTCTCCAAGAGATTAAAACTTTCCCAATGTAGACACAGTAGCCAGTTATAGATTTTTTGATTTCTGAACGAGTAGCCCAGTCTGAATCAGAAAAGCCTTGTAGCTTGAGATTAGTGTTGGAAGGATAGAATAGGCCCTTTCCTGGAGATCCTTTTAGGTACCTAAGGACCCTATGAGCAGCTGTCAAGTGAATATTTGTAGGTTTGTCAACAAATTGACTCAAATGCTGAACTGAATGTGAGATATCTGGTCTTGTGTTGGTTAGATATAGGAGCTTGCCAACCAACTTTCTGTACACCTCTGGATCAGTAAGTGGGACTCCTTCTTGGCTATTCAACTTTTGTCTTGTAACTGCAGGAGTTTTAGTAGGTTTAGCCTCCAAGAAACCATTGTTTTTCAAAATTTCCAGGGTATACTTCCTTTAGCAGATATTAATGCCATCAGAAGTCCTTAGAGCCTCAATTCCCAAGAAATAATTCAAATGGCCAAGATCCTTTATCTTGAAGGCCTTATCCAGAAACCTTTTTAGTTCATTGATCTGTGATGATTCCCAGCCACCAATATGTCATCCACATAAATGAGTAGAGAAGTGAAAGAATTTCCTGAGGTCTTGGTGAATAAAGAAGGGTCTGCTGTGGATTGATGAAAACCAATCATCATTTAAACCTTCGAGAAACCATATCACCTGATCATCTTCTCTATCTTTTCGTATCTTACTCATGAGTGTACAAGAGCACCTAGGCACACACATACATACATACATGGTCTCATTGCGTTTAATCGTTCCCATAGGACATTGCACTTTGTGAAATACTCATTGATAGACATACTGCCTTGCACATTCTTATAGATCTCATTCTGAACTTCTGCTATTCTGTGTGAATCAGCTTATGAATATCTTTTCTTCAGAGTTGTCCAGATCTCTTCTGCTACTTCAAAATACAATACACTTTCCGCTATGATTGGATTGATAGACTTCAAAATCCAAGAGCAGACAATGTCATTTCATCTTTTCCAGATTGCATACCTCGGATCAGCTTCGCCTGGACACGCAATGGTTCCATCCACGAATCTGAACTTGTTCTTCACACCTAAGGCCATCTTCATAGATCGGCTCCAAGATGCATAGTTGCTTTTGGAAAGAGGAGGAGATACTAGCGTCTGATTGGGATTCTCCGTGATGTGGAGGTACAGAGGATTATCGAAGTCCTCTGTTCGATATAGATGGCTGCGATTTGCAGCGGTTTTGCTAACCGAAGGAGGAACTGTGGCGTCTTCTGTTGACGTTCCTTCACCCACTCCGGGATCTATGACGACGACGGCGGCATTGCTACGGTGAAGCTCTGATACCATGTCGGATTATGGAAAATACACAGAGTGATGAATGGAAGCTAAACCGAACAAAGGAAGAAAGGAGAACATTGTGTTATTCAAAGTATCAAACCCTCATTACAGCAACTAAAAGAATAAAAAGGATGAAAGCTTTCAAAAAATGGTTATAATAGATTTTATGGTGCAAAGACAAGAATGCCCCTTGAAGAGTAAAGACAGGAAAGCCCTTGACTTCCCTTGTGACTGCATTAATCTCCAACAGAATTTCCAAGGTCTTTCAACCACGCCATTTGGTACTGTCACAAAAACCTACATCGTAGAGATATACCCTTGGGTGCCTCCACCAGTCTGTGCACAAATGTTCACTATGATTTCCGATTGTGCAACATCATTGCTGCTCGGACCATTTGAATGTGCACCACGATTAACATTCACAATTTCACTAGCTAACAACAATAGTGAAAGCCACCGACTTATTCATAAAGATATAGATTGTTTTTAAGATTGTAAGGTATGTAATAAGTCGATTCACCATATATATAACGAAAATAGGATTTTAAAAATTTACAATAATAATCCCAACCGCGAGAAATGTGAGCACATCGACTTTTTATCAGAAATGTTGGCAGAGTTTTTTTGTAAGAAAAGAGTTGAACAACATTCATTCATACCCATAGGTTCCGGCATATAGAGAACCTCTATATTATACAATTCAGATCAACTTCCCTCTGAAAGGGTTTTATATATATAGTGGCGCAAACTCACTTTCCAAAACAATGTAGGATATACAAGTACTTGCTTCAAGCCTTTCTACCTCCATTTTCCAACTCAAATAGGTCAACTTTGTGAATGCAATTTCCCATTCACCCATAATCCACTTTAGGCATCGATTTATTCGTCTCACTACACGAATTGAAGAATCTGAATCTACTTTAACCCAATCCAAAACAAAAATGGACCTCATATATATTTGTACCATAAAATAGCTAATATTTAAAATGCCAGTTTTAGGATAAAAATTCCAACATAATATATCAAAGCCACAGAATATATAATGAATACATAGTCTTATGATTATTTGTAGCCAAAAATATATATAAAAAGATCGGAGCTGAGAAAAAAGTTAAGTAAGGGTGTACCATATATATGCATGCACCAGCCGGCCACATGCATACAATTGACATTTCTTCTTCTTAGGGAGTAGGGACCAAATTAAATTAAATACTACTGTAATTAATATAATTTGCACTACTTAATTGGACAGTACAATTTGCAAGTTGAAGTGAAAAAAATTCAAACAAGTAATAAATAAATGAAAGGTTTTCATGGAAAAAAACAGTCTATAAATAGGATTTGGTTGCAAGTAGTGAGAACACACAACACAAACAATATAATCCATCATTTGAACTAATAATAATAATAATACTAATAATGGCTTCTTGTTCTTGTTCCTTTTTGGTGTTGGTATGCGTTGGTTTGATGGCAGCAAGCCTAACAGCCGGCAATACAGTGAACACGGTGGTGCTTAATGGAGCCCTTATTTGCCAACAGAATGGAGCAGCCGCCGCGGCTAACATAAGGGTTTCATTGGTGTGTGGAGATGATGATATCGGAACCGGTGTTGTGGTGGAAGCCACCACTACAGCGACCGGAACGATTAGTGCTACCGTGAATATTGGTCGGCGCACAAGAGATGCAATCTCGTCGTCTGAGTGCATACTTACAGCGCCGCCACAAATCTGCCCCGGTACTACTCCTGCCAATGCAGTGCTAGGGGCTACCGTTACTGTGACTAGGTCTGGAAATACGTTTACTGTCACTCCCGGCCAAATTGGCCCTCTGCGACAAGTGCCAATATCAACCTAAACTACCACGTATTGCACTACGCATGCATGCACCCCAATTCTATTCTTCTCCATCCATCTTATTATAAGTGTATTTTCATAATTAAGCTAAGTGTAATATAGTTCTTAATAAATTTGCTTTCTTCATCACTTGTTCTCATCTGTGGCTAGCCTATATATGCACACAAGCTGAGTGATGTGATGGAAGGAGTAAAATTTGATATATAAGCCTTAAAAGGCTATATATGTATCTGTCTTTTTTATTTCTATCTTTAGTTTTTATCAAATAAAATAAAGGAGAAGATAGATCGAATTTAAACTTTATTATTACTGCATGTACGTATTTTTATTTTCTCCTATTATCAAAATCCATGGACTGGCCTGGGTAGATTCGATAGTTAGTTTGACTACAAGACTTCATTTCTTAACACTACATACTCGGAAAGATTATATTGAAATCTTAACAAATTGGTTATGAAAAACTTTAATTAATTTAGCTCAAAGTTAATTAATGGACATCCATCAATAATGATACGTATAGTAGCACACTTAGCACAATTTGTAGTTTGTGCAAAAATATAATATTAAGAAAATGTAATAAAGTGTTGAAAGGTAGTTAAATTCATGGATAAAGTCAATATATATATAGAATTCACTCTTACTATAGGATAAGAGTGGAGTAAAAAAATTACATAACATTCAAACCACTATAAAAGTACTTGTCTGATTTACTAAGCTTCCATTTTAAATTCATGATATCTATTCTCGCTTACACTTGGATGAGAATAGTGATCGATCATTCAATCCGGAAAAGGATTACAATCGTAATACTAAAACAGATAAACTTACGTGAACTACTCCTATACAATAGGCTAGCCACAACACTACCCTATTGACTTATTCTAATGTTACAGGAATAACAATATTAATAATAACATTAATAATATGACTAACACTCCCCCTCAAGCACAAGGATGGTGCATAACCACATTGAGCTTGTCACGTAGAGTAGTGAACCGAGGGCCGGGTAGCGGCTTGGTGAAGATATCTGCTAGTTGATCCTTAGTGGACACAAAGTTGACTGTCATTTCCCCCGACGCGACTTTGTCCCGGACAAAGTGGTAATCAATCTCCACATGCTTATTCCTGGCGTGGAAAACTGGGTTGGCACAAAGATAGGTAGCCCCGAGATTCTCACACCAGAGAGTAGACGGCTCGCCATTATGAAGTCCCAACTCATGTAACAGCGATACAACCCATGTTACCTCGGCCGAGACATCTGCAAGAGCCACGTATTCAGCTTCAGTGGAGGAGCGAGCAACAATGCGTTGTTTCCTGGATAGCCAGGAAATGAGATTGGCTCCGAGAAACACAGTATATCCACTAGTACTCTTTCTGTCAACTGGACAGCCAGCCCAGTCTGAATCCGAAAAGGCATGAATAGCAGATGAAGTAGATACTGTCAGACGGAGACCGTAGGTCAGAGTTCCCTTAATGTGCCGTAGTACTCGCTTTAATAGACCCCAATGATCAATAGTCGGAGAGTGCATGAATTGACACAGTCGGTTGACAGCGTAAGCCAAGTCTGGCCGTGTAATCGTCAAGTACTGAAGCGCTCCAACTATACGACGATATTGAGTGGGATTGTCGAAGGACTCCTGAGTGGGTGAGACAGCCTGAGTAACAGCAGTGGGTGTAGTAAGCGGCTTGCAGTCGGTCATGCCGGCACGGACCAGTAAGTCATTCATGTAACGATGTTGCGAGAGCATCATGCCAGTGTCAAGTTTGACTGTCTCGATGCCAAGAAAGAACCCTGGAATACCGGGATCCTGGATCTTGAAGGTGTCAGATAAGCGATTAAGGAGAGTAGTGATCAGCGAAGCGTCATTACCCATCATGATAATATCATCCACGTATACAAGCAGGAAGACCCGAGATGTGCCCGCTGTGTAATAAAAGAGTGAGACATCCGTTTTAGACGGAAGGAAACCTGTAGAGAGTAAATAATCATGTAGCCATTTGAACCACGCCCGGGGGGCCTGTTTCAGGCCATACAAGGAGCGCTGAAGATAGCACACATGACCCGGATGTGTCGGGTCTTCATAACCTGGGGGCTGTTTCATGTAAACAGTCTCCGCAAAGTGCCTATTGAGAAAGGCATTGTGAACATCCAGCTGGCATAATGTCCAGTGATGAGCCACAACAAGAGAAAATAATAGGCACACAGTAGTCGGCTTAACAACTGGGCTAAAAGTGTCAAAGAAGTCCTCGCCAGCCACCTGGTTAAACCCTTTGGCCACGAGCCGGGCTTTATAGCGCTCAACTGAACCATCAGCATTCCGCTTGGTTCTGAACACCCATTTACACCCAATCACATTCATGTGGGGTTCAGCCGGTAATAATGACCAAGTGTTGTTGTGGAGGAGTGCATTAAACTCCTGATCCATGGCTTCACGCCACCGCGGATGACCAATGGCTTGGGAATAGCATGTCGGATCAGTGGTCGTGTGCAAAGCATGAAACTCTTCGCCCGTTCCCTTAATCATACGGCGGAGCCGCATTACATGATCTCGTATTCGAGCAGGAGCTTTGCGAACCCTGACTGCACGGGTTCTGACATGCCCTTCAATAGCCAAAGGTGGTGGTTCTTGAGCCAAGGGAACCAGACTGGGTGGTGGTCCCGGTACGGGCGTGGTTGACATAGTCTAAGTTAAAATGGGACTGGTCGCCCACGGTAGTGCCGGTGATGACTCCGAGATGATAACCTGTTTCTTAATGTCTGCAAAAGGAAAAACGTGTTCATCAAAGCGCACATGGCGACAGACATAGACTTTTCCAGATGTTAAGTCAACGCATCTGTAACCCCTATAGGACAACGGGTAACCTAAGAACACACAGGGTGCCGAACGATACTCTATCTTGTGCCTATTATATGGCCGAAGATAAGGGTAACAACGACACCCGAAGACCCGAAGGAATGTGTATGGAGGTGATGCTTTATGTAGTAGGCTGTATGGACTTTGAAACTGTAGAACAGAGGAGGGTAGATAGTTTATTAAGCAAGTTGCTGTTTCAAACGCGTAGTCCCAGTATTATAATGGGACTGAACCTTCAGCCAGTAGGGCCAATCCAGTTTCAACTATATGTCGGTTTTTACGTTCTACCCGCCCATTCTGT